ATTGATAAATCAGAAAAATATGATCTTAGTGGGGTTGCTACAGTTCCAACAGAATCTATTGGTATTGCTCGTAATTTCCCAATAACATTTCCTCCAGGTTTTACTATACGTGAAGATTTTGTAGTTATACGTGTCCCTAAACCAACATTGATATTTCCAAACCCACTTCTCAAGAAATATAAATATGCTATAGATTGGGGTAAAGATGAGTTGAAAATTCCTTTTAATGGAAAGAATCACATTATTCCAGTTACTATGCACAAGGTAAAAAATAATCTTGAAGTAAATTGCGCTACTACATCTCAGAATAATAGAGACGAAGTCCCATTGCTTTGCAATAAGCCTTTGGTATCTGATCAAATTTCTCAAGAGGCGAATAGTAATAAGAGCAATAATGATCTATTGGAGGAATGGCATGCTCCTGCAGGTTTTAGCCTAGATTCGACTTTAAAAAAAAACGCATGAGCTATGAGAAGTTAGAAAAATCGCTACATGAGGTACTCGAATCCAATACCGAATTAATCGAGCTTAATAAAAAACTATGGACCTATAGAAATGAGTCTGATATTGAAATGATATGTAGATTATTGCCTAGCAATGGCCCTTTGAGTCTACAAACTACTCTAGAAAAAACAAAAGTGAATTAGTTGGAATCTAAGACTCTTTTCGTCTCACGTTTAGCTTCTTCTTTTTCTTTGCGATTTTGGGCAAGCCTAGCTTGTAAATCATCTATTTCAACTACTTTTTTTATCGGAATATTTACTGAATCAGATACCCGAACAGATCTAGAACTGGATCCTGGGTTTCTTTGCTTTGACTTTCTATCTGAAGTATTATTTTCAAACATTATTTCAGAAGAAACAACACTATGTATTAGTTGCTGTTTGTGCAAGGGTATACCTTCAGCATGTCTTTTCCAAATTTCATATATTCTACAAGTTGAAGTACTATATCTATTAGCCATTTTCCTGCATGCATTTTTAACTGTCTCTCGAGATTGAATGATTTCCCCAATAGCTTCTGGTGATAAATAAGGAGTACCAGCACGATAATACTCTACAGTTATGTGTTCCATTCTTTTTATAATTATAAAAAATTATCGAAAATTATTGAAAATACTAAAATACTCCTATTTCTCTTATGTTAAAAAATG